GATGAACATTCCTAGCACAAGGATGAAGGGCGGTTATAAGGCCAGCGTGGAGTGCGGAGGGTTCTTTTGAAAGCCGCTAAAAAAGGGCACACCGTACCACATTTAATTAAGCGTGAATGGAGGATATAGGAAATGTGAATAGGCTAAGGCAGAATGGCAGATACCATAATTGTTTAGCACACGTTTGGTCAAAGGATCGGCTTTACTTGTCTCTTTGACGAGTTGTAATATGGTGCTACGAATGGTAAACTCATTGACGATGCCGGCGAAACGTCTAGGAATGTACCATGTCCACGGTCCGACTTTGGAAATAATTATGCATACAATGGACTCAGGACAAGGTGCGTGTCTGTGAATGTACCACGTCCACGGTCCGACTTTGGAAATAATTATGCATACAATGGACTCAGGACAAGGTGCGTTCCTATAAGTCTTTACTCTGGAAACGATGATGCATACAATGGACTCCGGACTAGGTGCGTTTCTTTAAGTCTTCCTACCAATATGGCCATGTTGCGAAAACAAGGTCAAACAACCTCTATACAACGAAAGGAGACTGCGACCACACAAAAGGTTACACCATTCTATACAACGAAAGGAGATTGCGACCACACAAAAGGGCACACCAAGTTGCGAAAACAAGGTCAAACAACTTCTATTCAACGAAAGGAGACTGTGACCACACAAAAGGCCACACCATCTTGGTCTTGACGAAAACAAGGTCAAACAGCTTCTTTAAGTTTTTTTATTTTATAAGTGAAGGATGACCGCAGTTTTCTTTCGATGTATAGTAGTTGTGTGACCTCGTTCATGCTACTTGTTCGTATTATCAAGGCGACTTATAAGAATGCATTTTGTCCGGAGTTGATGGTATCCATGATAATTTTCAGTCGGACCGTGGACTTTGTATATTCCCAGACGCTTCGCCGTCTTTTCCACTGATGATGCCGGAGAAACGTCCGAAAAACTACCAAATTCACGACTCCACTGGAAATTACCACGGATATTATAGACTCCGGAAAAGGTGTGTTCATCTAGGTTTGCCTGACTATCCGATCAATTTGGGCAAACAAGGTCAAGTGACCTTCAAAATAAACCTTTGCTTGCCATTAAAATCAACATCATTGTTAGCTATAAATTCAGGAGTATTCGAAACCGTCAACTATCTATTTTCGAACGATGATTGGATGAAGATATGAAGACCAAGATGTTGTGGCCTCTGGTATGGTCGCTGTCTCCTTTCGAGTTATATAAGTTGTCAGGGCGACTTAGTAGTAGTCTGCCATAGTAGTTGTCATGATTTCAGGCATCAGACAATGGACTTGGTACATTCTCAAACGTCTCTTTGACGAGTTAATAACTTGGTGTGGAGAATGATAAAACTCACTGATGATGCCGACTACGATGTCGGCGAATTGTTTAAGAATGTACCAAGTCCACTGTCTGATGCCTGAAATCATGACAACTACTATGACAGACTACTACTAAGTCGCCCTGACAACAAGACCAAGTTGCGACAAGGTAAACCCACTTCTATGGCTCTAGTATGTTTTATAGAATCAGCTTGCCTTCTTTTTCAATTTGATCATAATCTTAGAGACCTAAGTATTGGTTTATTCAGGCCTACAATTGCATTTTGTGATTCTTATTGAATTGGAAAATAATTTCTTTTTCAACTCAGAACTGAGTTTAATTCATATTTATTTGCTTAACAATTTATATTTTCATAGAGTTCATGTATTATATTAACTTAAAACAGATCACTGGGGCGCTTTCTGGTTAATCTCTGCGCAATCGTCGGAGGTGTCTATACAGGTAAATTATTAAGGAACTATACAAATTTTGATGACAGCTATCATGCCAAAATACCCCCTTTAGTTTCCAGCCTCATCGATGGAATGCTATACAGATCAGGAAATGTAATACTGAAAAAAATGAATGACCACATGCGGTGAAGAAGAGTTCGTATGTATTTATTATTGTGGATTCCGAGTGGCCAAATGATCTCATCATTGTCATTGCAACAGCTGTCTAATGAGATATAATATGTTCATTATATTTTCAAATTCATCACTTATCCGTTGTGGTTCGAGTATTCGTTCAATAAAATCCATCTAAGCAGCCAAATCCAGTTACCTAATTGGGTTTATAAGGCAAACAACTAGTAAAATGAATATTTTATTTACAAAGATCAAGGAATAGAAGTCATTGTTGCTGCCGTCACAACAGGTTTCAGAAACAGTCATTTACTAGGTACAGCAATATATAAAGCTAATCTTCCTAACAGTAAATCTACTAAAATACTTATGCATGCACTATATATATATATATATGCCAGATACAAGAGAAGTAATTATATTTCCATATATCATGTGAGAAGTTATAAATAAGAAATCACAGCCCTCAGGTTAATTATGAAAAGGGGCACCATATATATATATATTGCCGATGTGCTTCCGCATTGAAAAACTATGGTTTATTTTTAGCATTCTGGAGTTAATTCAATTCTAGCCCTGTAGATCTCCGTCTCTGCAAGCTCTCTGACGATCGGTAGCAGCATAACTAGATGGGCACAGCGAACACTAGCCTTGTCGACAGCATCATGGCTTACAACTTGTTTAAAGTGATTCAGATCCCTGTGACAAGATCCACATGGCTCCAAATCATGGCCGGAGCATACCCGTCTTAGCATACTAGCCCAGACGTCTTGAATTGACTGGACTTTATCAGGATGGATCAGACCGATTCGTTCTATTAGAATAAAAAAAGTTGTTGCCATTGAAATATAATGCGAAAATCTCTATGAAAGACAATAGTTTTAAGCCTTAAAGGAAAGTAAGGATTTATTTTCGACGCATAGTAATTTTAGGAAATGAAAATAATTAGAATCCCATAAACCCGAATACGTAGACAGAGTCCAATTTATGACGTATGGCTGCTTCTGAAAGTCCTATGGACGTTTTTAGGTAAACGAAATACGGTTTTTCAAAACACTGTTTAGGATGCATGAATCAGGAACTTCATAATAAAATATGCCCTGTGATTTATAGATGTTACAATTGACGAATAGCAAGAAATCAACTTTAATTTCATAAGATTCTTTTGTAGTGTGAAAAAAATGAAAAACCCAGCCTTAATTCACAGAGCTAAGGACCCAAGCATTCTTTAAATTCCGACGTATTTTATTTAGAAAAATTTGGTTTAGAAGACACGTTTTAATCACTAGGGCCCCTAAAGAAACCCTTACGTTTATACTCAGGGGTTGTCTGAAGCATTGTGTAACAAACGAGGAACTGGAGAAGTGGAAGATGAATGGGTCTCCGAATCCATATGGTCTGCCAAAAAAACATACAGAGTACGAATTACAACTATTGTGAATAATAAGGGAAGCATGGTGCATAAAGCATCACGATTTATTTGTTACAAGTTAAGGCAAATCTCCGAGGCGGTGGATTTCAAATATGAATGTTTATACATTCGTTTACTTAGTCTACGAACAGGGGATACAAAGTGGGGATTTACTCTTAAGTTTTGATGTTTAGTCTATGTATATAAAAATGTGTGTTATGTCACACCGAGCAATCCATACTAGCCAACACTCGAAGGTTTTATGGAATACTAATTTAAAAGGTGTCAATAATGTATAGATCAACCTGGCGATGCACTATTTATAGCCTGCATTTAATGGTAAACTGTACGAATAAACACGAGTTTAGCTATGATATCGTGTTTGCCACCAATTGTAGCAAATAATTACGTGGCTAAATTCTAAAAACGCCTAATTCAAGTGACACTTCTAGTCCGTAAATTATAAGTTCACTTTACCGTTTGGCAGCATGACAAAGAGAACCTGAAAACTCCCTCTTGACCCGTCGAATCCGTCTGCTATCTCCATGACAGATGTATTTCACTCGACCCCCGCCCCCCATCTGTGCCAGAAGTCACAGAGGGTTCGGGATCTGATAAATAAGAGGTATGACAAGAAATCGCTTAGCTATGGGATAATAAGACGGAGCAAGACCAAGCCAAACCGGACAAATTTTGTTCTTCAGGAATAGAGACAGGATAGACGAGGCTGAGATTGGAGCTAGTTGGATGACAGTAGGTTTTACAAGAGGCGTGATCCATGTTGCAAAGGCATGACCATGAGACTTACTCTGAGGCTTTAGCCTCTAATCAATCACCCGGGTGCAGGGGATGGACAAATTACGCCTCGAATATCACAGATGAGGGGGCAGGGGTCGAGTGAAATACATGTACCAGGGAGATAGCAGACGGATTCGATGGGACAAGAGGGAGACTTTAATAGGACCCAGGGAACGACTACCTAACAATATGACCGACTGATCAACATCCCCAGCACAAGGGTGAAGGGTTTTCATCAATGCCGCTCGAAGGAGCACACCACACTTCATTAAAATAAGCACGGTAAAAATTTTACAACGATGATATAGGAAATGTGAATAGCCCAGGGCAGAAGGGGAGATACCACAACTGATTAGCACACGTTTCGTCAAAGGATGGGCTTCACTTGTCTCTTTAACGAGCTGTACCATAGTGCTACAAATGGCGAGACTTACTGACGATGCCGGCAGTCAAACGATTGCTATCTGCTAGCCTTATACTCCTAATAATCATTGACTTCAAAATTCCAACCTTAGTTTTGTAACTATGGTTGGAAAGAAAATTAAGCAGAGCCAAGTTTTATTGACTCGTTAGCTTGAATTTAGTTGTAAGGATGATACCCTTCCTCATACGACGCACGTTTTTACCGGAATCGAAGGAGTTTACCTCGGAAACAGCGTCAACATGAATGTTCCAGTTAAGTCAACCGACAGCTGATCAAGAGGAACCTGCCGTTGTTTTCTGGTGGAATCGACTTTAGAATCTGATTACCAAATACTTTCACTCGAAATGGAAGTAAGCTCAACAATTATTAAATAAGAGATTCCTCGAAACCCAACTTTTCTTCGGCTAATTTTATATAGTTTGGCATCTCCCTTTATCAATTACTCTGCAGAGGATAGTATAGGAGAAGATAACCAAACCCTCATTTACCTGGAGTAAAAAGAAGAATTCCAGTCAAAAGCGTCAACTCGTTTTCAGATAACCCTAACTTGGCCATTCTGTCCGCAAGACGAGAAATTGCCCTGGAATTTGGAGTATGTACTGATGCAGTCGAGCTCGCGTTGACTCCAGATGATGGGATGGAGAACTCGAAACAAGTAGTACCTAATAATAGCTGCTGATTGTTGAAGCGTGATTCCTCATGCTCAGTTCCGCACAAAGTATGTCCATTTTCTGGTTTGACCTTTGTGAATTTGTATTTTTCTGGGCAATCGTGATCACATGCTTTAGATGTAGAGGAGAAAGTAGATGGACAACAAGCTTGAGTATTACTTTTTGGCAGTCCTGTTGGTTTGTATTCTGACTTTTTGGCGGACTGACAAAGTC